ATAGAGTGGATGAGGTCATCACAATGCAGGGCCCTCTGAGGTCTTCCTCAGAGGCCCGGGGCCTTTCTCCCCTCTGACAAGGCTTAGCCAGACAGCTGACCAGGACCTAGGGCCCAGGGCTCAGAGCTCAGGAGGAAATTAGGGGATGCCTACAACGCCCACCCTGGATTTTCAAAGCTGAGTTGAAGGCTTTTGCTGGGATGTCGGAGCCAGTTTGGGTGGGGGTGGGGGGTAAGGGAGGGGTGGGGCAGGAGGGGGAGGGTAAGGAGTAGTGAGGGGGAGGGAGGAGGTCTTCAGATCATCCGGAAGTGCCCCTCCCCCCATTTTACGGGAGGAACAGAGGCCCAGAGAAGAGAAGGCACTTGCCCGAGACCACACAGCCTGGAAGCAGAGCAGGGACCGCAACCCAGCCTTCTCGGAAGCGCCTGACTACTTCGTTTTCCCCAGTCTCTGGTCCTCAGACTTCCTAATACCTGTTTCTGCCAAGTGTCCTGGGCATCAGAGAAACACCTCTGTGTCGTTTGGCTTCCTACCTTTGTGACCACGGGCATCAGTTCTCATTCTTCACGGCAGACGGAGAGGTGGAGTCCACTCCCGGAGGCGGCTGCAGGCGAAGGGCTGGCTGCTAGCGCAACGGTCTGCTTCCGTCAAGATTTACAGCCTTGGAGCCCTATGGGGCAGCAGACCTGCTCCCTTCTCTAGGGTCACTAGGAGTCAGATTCGATCAGATGTCAGTGGGTTTGGGGTTTTTTAGTTTGGTTGTTTGAGATGAGTAAGCTCTTTCCCTCAAAAGTGGCCTTGGAGAATCTACTCAGCCTCAGCCTCAGTTTCTCCACCTGTGAGATGGGAATCACCTGCTTCAGACACCCCTCCCGCCCCGCAGTCATGTCCTTATTCTTCTCCCCTTCTTTCCCGCCTTCCAGACACAGCTTTTTCTGTCTTAAGAGTTGAAATGAGGACCTGACTAGACAGTGGTAAGCACAGTGCTTGGCTCGCATTAAACGTTCAGAAAACGTCAATAGCTGTCATTTTACTCCTATTCGTTTCCCAGCGCTGGCGTCCTCGGTCGCTGCCTTCCTAAATACCTATCGCCACGGTTCCCGTTTTGTCACTGTTGGCAACACTGTGAAACCCCCTCTGGCGGCCTTCCAGAGCCTTCTGCGTCCACAGGGTGGGGCTGGTGGGCCCGCTCGAGCCTGGAGCGAGCGGGGAAGGGCGCGGCGCGCAGCCGGAGAAGCGCGCCCCCAGCCGGATGGAGAGGCCAGAAAGCGCGCGGAGCTGCCCGGTTCCGCCTGCTCCCGCGGGCCGCAGGCTCGGCCGGGAGAGGCGGCGGGGCGATTGTGCCGGGGTCGGGTCTCATGGACCCTTCGATCACCCTCTTGATAGATGGGGATAATGAGCCCCGCAGGGGGCCGCGCGCCGCCTGGGTTCCGGTCTCCAAAAGGCCGCTGGGCCCAGAAAGGAGCAGTCGCAGACTCGGGCCTCAGCTCGGGAGGGTCCAGACCCCGCGGGGCCGGGTGGCTGGGGTGTGCGCAGACCCGCTAGCTCTGACTCACGCCGGCCCACCCGCCTCCGGGCTGGCACGGGTCTCCCGAGCTCCGATGGCGCGTCCGTGCGGCTGCTTCCGGTGCCCCGGGAGGCCCGCAGCAGCCGGAGCCCGGGGCTGGCCTCCTGGAGAGGAGCCGAGAGCCTAGAGGCCCCACTCGGGGCCAGCCTTTGGGGGCTTGCAGGGCGCGTCTCGGAACGTCCAGGCCTTTTGGGCACTGGCACAGGCCGAATGGGACGGGGAGGACTTGGGGTCAGGCCACGGCCCTGATCTCCACCCAGCTGGGCCCCAGTCTAGACCTGCGGCCTTAGCGCCCCTTGCAGGAAGGCGCACAGGGCGGCCGGACCCTCTGCGGCCCTCTCCCTCCCTGGTTCACTTAGTCTTCCGGTCAGCTCCCCTCATCCTTTCACTGGTTCCAGACATAGCTCGCACTTTATTTTGGCATTTGGTGCTTAGAAAATTATGAAATAATTTAGTAATTATGTTGAGACTGGATTGTTCACCTTGATGCTTGAGTGCCACAGACACCTTCAGTCCCTTAGGATGTCTGCACTCGCAGGACTCTCAAGAAGGAGGTCTCTCCCATGCCCCTCCCTGTCTGTGCTCGCCCTGTGACAGCAGCTGGGCTCTAAACACGTCTCTAGCCCTGATCTGCTGGACAGGTGACACAGGCCCCTCCTCACGCCCACTGGCACCTCTACCCAGGAGCAGGGGTGGGTGGGTCAGGCCCTGCTGCTTCTCAGAGCTCCTCTGCGCCACCCGTCAGGCTTGGCGGCACTTTGGAGGAGGAGGCAGCCATGTTCCTTCACTCTTCCTTCATGTGCTCCTTGCGCTCTCATGAGACCCTACCAGCCAGTAAGAGAATCGGTCCCAGTGGGTGGCCTGGAGACTGAAGAGCATCTGGCAGGCTTCCCGCCATGTGCCAGACCTGGTGCAGCTGGACAAAGCGAGACTAGAGGAGGGCAGCCTTCTCTACTGGACTCAGTTCTCAGGGTTCCTGGTTCCCTCCTGTGTCCACTGGCCACAGAATGGGCACTGCCCCCCACGCCCCCACTATTGCTGGACTTGGGGCTGCTGCCTTTGGGAAATCCATTAAAGTGAGATTAGCGTCCACCTGCCCAGCCAGCTTCCCTGTCTGGCTTTTCTCCAGTCCTGGAATGTTCCCCTGGCCAACTTTCCCCTTCCTCCAGCCAACTGAGGAAACAGACTCTGGTCCAAAGAGCCTGGCTGTCAGCCGGCTTCCGCCACCTGGTAATGTGCATGGTGTGGGGGCGGGAAGTTGTCTCCAGGAGCTACCTGGAAGCTCAATGAGCGGTGTGGCTGGAGAAAGACTTCAGCCTGAGGCCCTAAAGCCAAGTGTCCTCACTTCCGCCCCCTCAGCTTCCTGCCCAGCTCAGCATTCTGAGGCAGGTGAGCTGAAGGTCATAGGAAATTGTAGGTTGGCTGTAATTTTTCTGGGGACCATCACCTGATGCAGTAGTTTGTTGGAAAACCCAGGCGAAAATGAAGAGTGGATTTTATAGACACGTGGGTGTGGCCTGCAGCTCTCTGCACAGCTCAGAACAGCCTCCCTCAGGATCTTCGCCTCTTTTGTAACTGCCTTTGTCACTTCAACATATTTTCCACTTAGAATCTGGCTTGCCTGGAGCTTGGCTGGCCGTGGCCTAATGTGAACTCCTGGCATCCTTATGTTTTGAATTCCTCTGCAAACTGGTAAGTTCTCTCCACATCTCCTAGCTCCAATTCCTGACATCCGTGGCCAGCCTGGGGCTTGGCTACTCTCGGATGAGGTACTCATCCCAGTCCAAATAGCCCTTAGGTGGTGAGTCACATGTTCACAGCATGGCCACCCGAGGCACCCCGTCTACTGGGGAGGGAGGGGAGGCAGTCCAGAACTTGGGTTTCTCAAGACGGGGTAGAGTCACAGATTGCCTCATCACCAGTGGAGAAGCGGGCACAAATCACACTGGAGGAAGATAGTACACAAAAGAAGGTGTTATTCAGGTAGAAAGACTCCTCAGAAGGACACAGGGAAGAGTTAACTAAGGGGAGGAAGGGGGAAGAGAGCTATTACATTGTGAGGACTTGGAGTCAATGTCACGAGACAAAATGTGTATGAACTGCTTTATGGAAATTGAATTTGCTCTGTAAACTTTCACCCAAATTACAATAAAAATTAAAAGGAAAAAGATGCCTTATTAGTCCATATCCCTGGATGATGAGAAGGGCACAGCACGGACTATGTTCAGAGTACAACACAGACCCTCAGGAAGAATGTCGCAAACTGGTCCTGCTGAGACGCCTGTCTTGAAGCCGGCACCCCCCCCCACCATGGCCCTCGGCTTCAGGGACACTCAGCTCGGCATCTGGCATGTGAAATCGCTATCCAGGAGAACTTTGTATCGTTTGAGGCAAAACACAGAACCAATTGGTGTGCCTAGGCTCCCTGCTTGGGACATCCCTGTGGAACGTTGGGGCCCAGCACACATTCCGGCCGCACAGCTGCAGCCACAGCTGTCGGGAATCAGCCTGGCGCCCCCTCCGCCACTGTGTGAGGGGGAAGGGGAGGCTAAGGGCTTCCTCTAGAGGCTCCGACTGAGCTCACCCTCACCCCACACTCACTGACTTCATCCATCCAAGGCTGCTTGGCTAACAGCCCAGGCGGTGCAGGACTTTCTCTCCAGAGCAGGCCCTCCGCCAGCTAACGGATGGGGGAAGGGAGAGCGTCAGGCGTGCGGCTCCCCAGGACCCAGGGGTAGCATATTGAGCCCTGAAATGCCAGAGGATTTTAAGGAAAAAAGGTGTGTGTGGGGGAGGCCAGCGGTGGCTGTGGGAGTGGTACTTAGCTCCTTCAAGGTAGGAAAATCCAAGGAGATCTCCTTTTCTCTCCATTTGGTCTTGGGCGATCCCATTGGAGGCGTGCAGGGTGACATCATGTCTTACAGCTGAGACAGCCACAGCCTGCTCTGCCCCTGCGGCCCCCAGGATTCTGACGGGAGCTGCTCTGCATTTGTGTTTCATGTCACATTTCAATGAAGGTTTAATAGTCTTCAGTTTGTACCAAAAGTAGATTACACAGCATGAAGATTACACAAAATCAACCTCACTGCTTAGCATCACACACATTCGGATTACAAAAAGTCCAGGGATAGATATTGTAAGTAAGAAAGTTACAAAAGACATCTGCTTAAAAAAATAACAAATTTAAAAATTGGTTTTCCCCCTAAATTCCCAATCACTGTAGTCTGGGTCACCATCATGACCAATGCTTGCAAATGCCCATTCCTTTATGAGTTCGTGGGGGACGGGATATTCAAGTGTATGGGCAAGGGACACTCGTACGCATCACACACACAGACACATACATCCACAGGGACAGGCACACGCCGAGTTGTTGCTGTTCCAGGCACTTCTATGTTCTTACATCTGCCACCTCCCCATAAGGTGTGACAGGTTACTTCTTTGGAGGGAGGACATTTTCCTCAAAGAACCCTGCATTAACAACATTCCCTGCAGGGAAGTATCTGGCCACCACAAACGAAGACCCATCACTCGCAGACGCCTTCCCCACGCCCATCTTCTTCGTGTTCTTCCACACCATGGCTGTGAAGTGTCCTGGAGGGGGAGAGGCAGGGGCAGAAGGAAACCCGTTAGTCAGCAGAAGCGCAAGGAGAGTCTGGGAAGGGACCCTTGGACCTCTGCGCCATCTTGCTGGCTTTGGCAAAGCCCCGTCTGGACAGATGCCCGTCAGCAGAAAGAGACAAAACACACTGCCTGCTTCCCAGCGGACCTCACTCATAATGGCCGCCCGACTTTATCTCCCTCACCACTTTCCAATGCCAAAGGCTTCATGATGTCCCAGAGAACATGGCAAACCCTAGTGACCCCAACAGTTAGGATGCCTCCCTACCTGGCAACAGCCTCCAACCCCCTCAGACTGTCCTCTTCGAGGCAACGGTGATCTCCATGTTACTCACCAGTGGTCACTGTTTGTCCTCATCTTCTCTGACATCTCAGAAGCATTGAACACAGCCGCCTCCCCCACTTTACAGAGCACCCTCGTCTTTGGGTTTGGCTGGCCCTGCCCCCCTCCCTCTGCTTCCTCCTCCTCCTCCGCCTCAGCATTTCGCAGGCTCCATCCTGGGCGCTGCCTTCTCTCCATGCTCTCGGTAAACGAGTGCACTTTTCCTGGCTCAAATTTTGTTTTCCAGCTCAAACTTCTTCTCTGTTCCAGACAAAACGACTTAATAGATATTTCCACTTGGATGACTCACAGCCATGTCAATTTTTCTTTTTTTAAAAAATTGTATCAATGGGAAACGTTTTTCTTAAATTTTATTTATTTTGTTGTTATGGTTGAGAATATACACAGTGAAACATACACCGGTTCAAAGACCCTACACGTGTGGACCACTCAGTGGCCCTGACTCCATTCTCCCAGCTGGAAACCACTGCCCTCCTTTTCTGAGCTGTTCCCAGTAACACAGATGCACTGTTCCCTGAGGTTCCTATCTCGTCTTTCTAAGCTGCTATTGCCCATTTGATCCCATACAGATAGTTCTGAAAAGAGGCATCTCAAATCTGACCCGTTCAAACCTCACTCTTGATTTTGGTGCCCTCAGATGGGCTATTCTCCCAGCCCTCGCATTCCGCCAACAGCCACTCTGTCCACACAGTCCTAGGAGTTGTCCTCCTATCTTTCTCCGCTCATCTTACCCACAATACATCACTAAATCTGAGCACTCCAACTCCAAAAATGCACCTCAAATCCATTCACTTGTCTCCAATTCATGCCCAAACGCTGCTCCTGACCATGAACATATGCTACCTGAACCACTGCCTGGTGGTCTGACTGGTTCCCATGTCCACCTTTGCCAGGTTCTTGTTCTTCAATGAAGTGCCGTAGTGATCTTTGTGAGACTTTAAGTGGGATGTTTACTTCTTTGCTTAAACATTCTTCCGTAGCTTCCACTTGAACTTAGAATGAAACCCAGGTTCCGTCTCTTGCTCATAATGCCCTGCTCAAGCTTGTCCTGCTGACCTCTGACCTCATCTTCTAGGAAGGCTTGGCCCCTTCCTTCCCATTTCTCGGACTCACCACGCTATTTCTCACCATGGGGCCCTCGCCCACCCAGGCTGCTGTGTAAAATACTCTTTTGCTGACCAACATCTTGTCATCCCTCAGGTCTCAGCCTAAATGCCACTTGTTCAGAGAAGACTTTTGCAGTCCCCATTTCCTCACTACAATGCCATGAAATTCTTACCCGACTGTCCTGTCTTGTTTATTTTCCCCTTCATAGCATTTTCGGTTTGCAATGCTGTATGTTTGGTTACTTGACTGTTGCTGGGCCCCTTCACTAGGCTATGAGCCCTGCATGAGCAGAGATCAAGTTGTTTTACTCACAAAAGTATAGCCAGTCTCTTGGCATACCGTATGAGAGGTGTAAAATAAATGGAACGAATGAATAAAAAATGAAAGGTATATGGGAGAACTCTCCTGAATTCAGGTTCTGCCCTTACTAGCGCAGGCTTTTTATATTTTGAGCAATTTGAAACTTGACAGGATACTGCCTCTTTCAGTTCTCGCTGCTCAGAAACAACCCAGTTCCTTCTCAAACTGCGGCCCCACCCTGGAGACATTTCTGTGGCTTTGCTGAAACTTCGCAGTATCAGTCCCCCACTGCTCAGGCTGCCTGAGGAATACACAGTCACTGTACCAAACAGAATTGGTGGATGTTGATCCATTTCAGGATGTGGCAATGGTATTCAAAGAAGAAGTCAAAGCTGCACTGAAGGAATTGGCAAAAAACAAGGGTCCAGGAATTAATGGAATACCCACTGAGATGTTTCAACAAACGGATGCCATGCTGGAGGCACTAACTCGGCTATGCCAAGAGATTTGGAAGACAGTTCCTTGGCCAACTGACTGGAAGAGATCCATATTTGTACCCATTCCAAAGAAAGGTGATCCCATGTGTTCTGGTTTCCTAGTGCCACTCTGACAAGAATATACAAATATACCACAGATGGGTGGCTTTAACAAACATTCTTACAATTTGGAGCCTTTAAATCTGAGTTCAAAGTGCCAGGCTCTAGGGGCTAGGTGAAAGCCCCTCAACCTTGGGCTTCAGCTCTGCCTCCTGCTCCTGGCTCATTGAAGCTGGAGGCTTTTCACTCAGACAGCTGCTGGCTGCTGAGGCTGACAAACCCAAGGTTGACAAGTAACAAGGCACAGTTCCGATATTACCAAACCACACAGCAGGCCATTAATCCAAGTTCATTAAAAGTCCCAAGATTGGCAGAGCATGGCAGGCTGCTGAACAACAACTCAGCTACATGCAGGGCTCAAGCGTGCCATAGCTAGAGACCATTCCCAAAGCTGTTTGTTATATATGGGAAGCAAACCACAGCCCTAAGGCAGCTACTCAGCTGCTCACAGTAGATTCTACCATGGAGTTGGTTACCAGTCTCATCATGGGGAATACTACTATATCCAGCTGTCCAGCCACTCAACCAGGCCCAGCCAAGTTGACACACAAACTGAACTATCACACTACAAAATGTGGAAATTATCTAACAATATCATTAATATCACACACAAGTCAAATCTTGCTGAAGATAACTCAAAAATGGCTGCAGGAGTATACTGACAGAGAACTTCGAGAAATGCAAGCTGGATTCAGAAGAGGACGTGTGTTTTGGTTACCTCATGCTGCTCTGATAGGAATATACCACAAATGGGATGGCCTGAACAAACAGGAGTTTATTCTCCTCCAGTTTTGGAGGCTAGAAGTCCGAGTTCAAAGCACTGGGCTCTAGGGGCTGGGTGAAAGCCCCTTGACCTTGGGCTTCAGCTCTGCCTCCTGCACCCATCCCACTGAAGCTGGAGGCTTTTCTTCACTCAGGTGGCCATTGGGTGCTGAGGCTGACAACCCAAGGTTGACAAGTAAAAAGGCACAGTTCCAATATTACCAAATAGCATGGTAGCCCATCAACTCAAGTCCATTGAAAGTCCCAAGATCGGCAGAGCATGGCAAGCTGCTGAACTATCACTGGGCTACCTGCAGGGTCCAAGTGTGCCATAAGCTAGAGACTGTTCCCCAAGGCTTCTCCTCATATACAGAATACAGACCACATCCCTAAGGCAGCTATTCAGCTGCTTGTAGTAGGTCCCACCATGGAGTTGATTGTCAGTCTCCTCGTGGGGAATAACTACCACCAGCTGCCCAGCCACCCAGCCATGTTGACACACAACCTTAACTACAACAATGTGGAATTAAGGATATCATAGCTGATGTCAGATGGATCTTGGCTGAAAGCAAAGAATACCAGAAAGATGTGTTTACTTGTGTTTTAGTGACTATGCAGAAGAATTCCATTGTGTGGTTCAAAACAAATTATGGATAACATTGAGAAGAACAGGAATTCTAGAACATTTAATTGTACTCATGAGGAAACTGTACATAGACCAGGAGGCTATCATTCAAACAGAACAAGGGGATACTTCATGGTTTAAAATCAAGAAGGGAGTGTATCCTTTCACCATACTTATTCAATCTGTATGCTGAGCAAATAATCTGAGAAGCTGGACCATATGAAGAAGAATGTGCCATCAGGATCAGAGGAAGACTCATTAACAACCTGTGATGCTCAGAAGCTTGATGAAAGTGAGAATGACTTGAAGCACTTACTGATGAAGATTGAAGACTGCAGTCTGCGGTATGGATTACACCTCAGTATAAAGAAAACAAATACCCTTACAACTGGACCAATAACTAGCATCACAATAAACACAGAAAAGATTGAAGTTGTCAAAGATTTCATATTCCTTTGTTCTACAATCAACACCAATGGAAGCAGCAGTCAAGACATCAGAAGACGTATTGCATTGGGCAAATCTGCTGCAAAAGACCTCTTTCAGAGGCTTGCAAATGTGATCAAGTTAAGATGAGGTTCTACTGGATCCTAATCCAATGACTGCTGTCCTTATAAAAGGGAAATTTAGGCACAGAGACACACACAATGAGAGTACAATGTGAATCCAGAGACTGGAATAATGGCTGTACGAGCAAGAAATGCCAAGAATTGTAGGACCCTCCAGAAGCTAGGAGAGGGAAATGGAAGAGATTCTTCCCCAGAGCCATCAGAAGGAGTACAGCCCTGCCGACAACTCGATTTTGGATTTCTTGCCTCCAGATGTGAGAGAGAATAAATTTCTGTTGTCTTAAAAAAAAAAAAAAAAGACCCTTTCAAGTCCTGAAGAGCAAAGATGGCTCCTTGAAGACCAACTAGGGTGCACCTAACCCAAGCCATGGTATTTTCAATCGCCTCATATGCATGTGAGAGCTGGACAACTAATGAGGAAGACTGAAGAGTCGTCGATGCTTTCGAATTGTGGTGCTGGCAAACAACACTGAGAGTACCGTGGGCTGCCAGAAGAACTAACAGGTCTGTCCCGGAGGAGGTGCAGCCAGAGTGCTCCTTGGAAGCAAGAATGGCCAGACTTCGTCTCACCTACTTTGGTCATGTTGTCAGAAGGGACCATTCCCTGGAGAAGAATATCATCATGCTTGGTAAAGTGGAGGGTCAGCGAAAGAGCGGAAGGCCCTCAACGCGATGGACTGGCACAGTGGCTGCAGTGATGGAATCAAGCACAGCAAGGCCTGTGAGGCTGCCACGGCCCCGGGCAGGGTTTCGTTCCATTGGACACGGGGTCCCTATGACCCGGAGATGACTCAATGGCACCTAACAACAAAAACATCATTCAGTATTTTGCCCACAGAATCCTCCAATATTGTAGCATTAGCCTTGAGTTTTTCCTTCAGTTCTCTCAGCTTGAGAAATGCTGAGCGTGTTCTTCCCTTTTGGTTTCTAACTCCAGGTCTTTGCACTTTTCATTATAATACTTTGTCTTTTCTAGCAGCCCTTTGAAATCTTCCGTTCAGCTCTTTATCTTGTCATTTCTTCCAGTTGCTTTAGCTCCTCTCTGTTCAAGAGCAAGTTTCAGAGTCTCTTCTGACATCCAGTTTGGTCCTTTCTTCCCTTCCTGTCTCTTTAATGATCTTTTCCTTTTTTTGCATGTGGTAGGGACTGGATAAATGTTCATTTTTAAAATTGTGCTTTCTTCCCTTACAGTTGAACTCTTTTTTAATAATTTTCAAATGCAGCTATAATTTATTTGTCTACATCCACAAAGGATTTGAGGTTGCTTATGCAAATCACGCACAAGCATGGATCAGTATAGTTAGTAACAGGTGATGTGGCACAACTGCAGCACAAACGAGATGAAGAGAAACCTAAGTGCCATGATGCATCTTCACCACTTTCTTTTCTTGTATCGCAGTGAATACAAATGTAACGTCAACATCTGTCACAGGTACGATTCAGTGACATCAATGACGTTCATCGCATCGTGCAACCACCACCGCTTCCATTTCCCAGTTTACTCATCAGCCTCAACAGAAGTTCAGTGCGCCCTACGCGCTGACTCCCCGTCCCCTTCTCCCCTTTTTCTCTCCCCTTTTACCACTTATTTTTACACTTGTATTAACCATTGCTCAATATCCTTCAGTGGTCCCCTCAAAAGAGGAAAAACACTTTGTGCAAGTCACCCTTGGTCCTTACACGGATGAGTCCGCTGCAGGCTGTCAGCAGCCTCATCAGGTTGTCACCACTTACATAGGCTGTCTTTTCAGTAAGGCTCAAGCCCTTTGTCACACAAGTCTTCTTTCTCAAGAGCCCACGTGCTTGGCTTGGACCGTTGACTGACACACTCTGTCTTCCCAGACAAAGAAGAAGCTGCCATTAACCCACTGGTTGCCAAGAAAATCATTGCAGTCATCAGGTGCCCATGAGCACCACAAAAGCACACGGTGGCCTTTTCCAACCAGAAGAGACTACGTCATCTTTCCCCTCACTGGAGGGTTTTCTGTCTCCATGGAGATGACTAAGTTACGAGTATTTGAAGGTTAATTAAAGGACACCACTTCCTTAGCAACCATCAGATACACAGTGATTTCTGACTCTCATCTACTAACAAAGCTGTTTTTGAAAGGAATCACATCCTCTTTCCTGCTGTAGACCCAAACTTCCTAGATTAGACCTTGAAAAGCCTTAAATAAGTTACAGTGCACCCTTGCAAGGGGCTGTGCACAGTGGTCAGAAAGCACGAGGCAGGCCGTTTTGAACTGATAGGGAACCACGTCTGACGCTGTGTTGTGTGCAGGAGACAAGGACAAAGGCAAGCACCTGCTCTGACACCTGAGTGTGAACAAGGGAAGCAGAGAATATACAGAGGCGTGTGCTCCTGGATGCTCAGAACACGCCCAGGATGGTACAAGAAGCCAGTAACACTCGTTTCCTCTGGCGAGGGAAAGTGAAGACGGGGATGGAAAGGAGGCTTCTCAACCTACGTAGCCTTCGTAACAAAGCTCTTGAATTTCACATCATGTGAAGGTATTACTGATTCAGAAGAAAATAAACCAACCTAGTCATTCAACAGAATATATAACCAAGTAATGCTGAGAATTACTTTCTCTCCACTCTGCACTTGGCAGGGGACTTGGCTGACTGTGCCCTTTACAAGATCCTGACCCGGGGGGTAGATGACAGGCCCATTCACCTACCGCTTGGACTCCATGGCACAACAGCATCAGCTGGGGAGAAGGCTCTGGGGGAGGCTGAGGCCTGGATGATGAGCCCAAGCGTTTCTAAGGGTCTTACAGGCCCTGTTCAGAACACCACCCAAAGCAGAACTCCCATCCTGGGAGCAAGCTCTCTCTGTCCCCAGACACTGGCCCCTGGGATGGCACAGAGGCCAGCTGCTCTGGAGTTTTCCTCTTTTGTGGGGAGAGGATATGTGAGCCAATGGATGGGATGGGTGGTGAGTGGTCATGGAAGGCTGAGTTCCACTCCCAGCTCTGGCACCCGGGAGGGACCCAGCGAGGCTCCTGCCTCGGAGGAGGGGCCCTGGAGAAAGCCTCGGAGCAGGGGTAGGTGGGCAGGACGCATAAAAGCAGCTCTTCCCCGCTCCAGGCCTCAGCTTCCTCCTCTGCGACACAGGGACCGTAAAGCCCTGCCCTCGAATGTGGTGTGAGGCCTTAACGGCAGCAGATGGGGAAGCACTGAGTAATTAGCTGTGGGGCGCTGCGCACACGGGTGGCATGCTAATAACGTGCTCTGCACACGTGATAGGAGCTCTGGTAGCATAGTGGCTAAAGCACTTGACTGCTAACCAGAAGGCTGGCGGTTCAAACCCACCAGCCACTCCTCGGAAGGAAGGTTGGGCAATCCTTCTTCCGTAGTGATACTGCCTCGGAAACCCAAGGAGGGGTCGCTATGAGTCGGGGCCGACTCGACGGCACATAACAACAACAACAGCAGCACATGTGATGGCTCCTGACACTCGCTCCTGGGAAAAGCAAGGGAAGAGATGGAACAATGTGCTTTGTGGACACTCGTCTTGTTACAAGACGACGAGGTTCTGCTGCCCGTCTTCAATCACTGGTGGGGTTGCTACTGGCCCTCCCTCCCTGCCCTACACAACTGCCACAGAATCACGTGTTCTCCCTTCAGCTCTGGTGGCAGCTCCTTGGGCCCAGCCAGGAGGCCTGCAGGAGTCAACTGAGATGAGAACTGCCTCAGCCAGTGCTTCCGCTTCCTCCCCAAAGTCCCACCCACACAGGGTGGCAGAAGCCCCGGCCCCAACGAGTGCGCAGCAAACCACAGGAAACGGCGGCTGGCTCCAAAAACCTCTCACTTCCTGCTTCTGCGGAAACCCTGGGGAGGAGGCCACGAGTGGCTGGACCCATGGGTGGGGCAGGGCTGGGGCGGGAATGGGGTGGGAGACAAGGCCTTTTTCAGCTCTCCTGGTGCCTTCTGCTCAGAGAAACACACCTTCGCCTTCTGGGTAACGTCAAAAGAAATACGGAAGAGGTGATGAGGGCAGAAATCGTAGATTGTCAAAGGGTTAGTTTGTCTCCACAGCCTGATGCCCAACTTGGAACCTTGCCCAGGGATGGACCACTGGTTGGGACCCTAACACTTACCTGTCCCGGAGGTGAAGCCTGGCTGCTGGAAGTTGTAGCTCTTGATTTCACTGTACCATCTCTCGGCCACCTCCTTCCCTGCGTGGAGAAAGGGCTGTGAAACTCAGCAGCCAAGTCAAGCCAGCTCCCCTCTCCCCCGTCTCCTGCAGGCCCCCTCTAGCCACCCATCCACCCCACAGTCAGATGTCTGATAAAGCACCAGGAGGGCTGGAACGTCTTGAACGTCTCCAGCAGACTCCCAGGGATGCCCAGGAACTTGTGCAAGCGTTAGCGAGGGCCTGATGGCAGCTGAGCAGTGGAGCCCTGGCCCGGGCTCAGGAGGCTGCCTGAGTCCCACCCAGCCCTGCGCTGACCTGCTGTGCAGTACTGGGCTACACCCTTCCCTCCTCTGCACAGCGGATGAGAGGGTTGAATCAATGTCCTCCAGGGGCCTTGTAACCAGGCTCTGCGTTTCTGAGAGAGGGCTCTCACCCCACCCTACGCCCGGCTAAAAACACATGCAGGAGGAAAGGCAATTGGGCTGACAGGTGAAGGTCCCCAGACAGGGTGGTCCTCACTGGAGCATCGTGGCCCAGCAGGTGGGGATATGAACAAACGCATATTTCCTGGGGAGTGGCTGGTGGTAGGGCCAGAGCTAGGCCTCAACTTCAGAGAAGCAAGGCCCGAATGTTAATGTTTGTCACCCAAGGGCTTGTTAAAATGCAGATCTGGTTTCAGCAGGTCTGGAGCGAGGTCCAGGAGCCTGGGTGGTGCAGTGGTTAAAGCACTTGGCTGTTAACTGAAAGGTCGGCGGTTCAAATCCACCAGCCATTCCTCAGGGGAAAGATGTGATAGTCCTTGGAGACCCTGTGGGGCAGTTCCACTCTGTCCTCTAGGGGTGCTGTGAGTCAGAATCGACTCCACGGCCGTGGGTTTGGGTTTGAGAGTGCAGCTCACTTTCTGCATTTCTAACAAGCTCCTTGGTGCTGCACTTTGAGTAACAAGGCCCTAGAGAGCAGTGGTTACACACTAACCTCACCCGAAATCTTCTGGAAAGTACTGATGCCTGGGCTCTTCTATAAGGAGCTCTGCTGGCACAGTGGTTAAGGCATTGTCTACTAACCAAAAGGTTGGTTGTTTGAACCCATTAGCTGCTCCGTGCAAGAAAGATGAGACAGTCTGTGTCTGTAAAGATTTACAGCCTTTGAAAGCCAACGGGGGTCGCTATGAGTTGGAATTGACTCAATGGCAGTGGGTTGGGTTGGGTGCCCTTCTACAGATCATGCATGGATATCTGGAGGAGAGACCGGCCCTTGGTATTTTCATAAAGCCCCTCAAAGATTCCCGTGTGTAGTAATAATAATAATAATAACATTCCTGTGTGCAGTCGGGGTGCAAAACCATCATTGCAGAGACCACCTACCCCAGGCCCTCTCTGCAGAGATGAGGACACAGGGTTAAGAGAGGGCGGCGGTTTGCTTGAGGGTCCACAGCCCAAGTCTGGGATGGAACCTGGATCTCCTGACTGCCCCCTGGAGGCTTCTCCCAGTCCCTCTCCCTGTGGCCCTGGATCCACCAAGAGGCACAGCCTGGGCCTGGGGAGGGCCTTACAGGCTGAGGGCAAGGCTTCGGAGGGAGGGGTCCTTGCCTTTGGGACCCAGGACGGAGCACACCTTGCCTGCAGGGCATAGGCGACTGAACCGCACAGAGGCCCTGGTCAGGCTCCGGTGGGGAAACCCGGGAGAGGTCTCCCTTGGGAATCCCAGGAATGCGAGCAGGAAGCGGGTGAGTCATCCTCACTGGGGGCTTGAGAAGGCTTCAGAGGGATGAGCCCGCTCCAGTATTTTTTCCTAAAAAGCCTTTCAGGGCTGTCTGGGCCAGAAAGCTCAAGAATGTTTGGTCAGTGTGGTAGGATCATCGCTCCTGACTGCGAACTTGGATGGAGGATTTGTCTTTTCTTTATTCAAAATGGAAAATGTTCCATAGCTTTTCTCTGATTATAAAAGAACTTTTATACACCAGCACTATAAACAATGTTTAGAAAAACATCAAGAAAGTCAAATTGCTTTGTAGCTAGGGCCGCCTTGGTGCCTATAGCATCAGCAGAGACTTTGTACAGAAACGGTCTGTCGTCCTCACCCCCACTCCTCAGCCTGGGAGCCTTTCCAGAAGGAGGGCCCTGGTCAGTCTGACTCATCTCTGTGTCCCTGGCACCCAGCACAGGCCTGGACCTGAACTGACCACCAGAGACCTTGTGGTGAATGGAGTCAGCCTCTGGGAGAGGACTCAGAGGAGAACTTGGGTTCCCTTTCCTCTGTGGGTCTGTGGTTACACCACCGCAGTGAAGAGAGATCCCCAAGATCTTGGAGGGCACTGGGGCCAGGGAGGGGTCTGGCCCAGCTCAGGCAGAGGGGCGGGAAGCTGAGAATGTGACCCACCTGGCTGGTCGTAGGATGCCCAGGCTAGATTCTCCCCACACTGGCCGCGACTGGACTCCGGGCTGTGCTTGAGGATTCTCGTGCTGGCCAGGGCCTCAGAATACCTGCCAGAGTCCATGGTGCCTCCTCAGGGCAGGTATAGCCCTGGGAAACCCCCCACGGATGAGCCCCAATATGATGTGACCAAGTGTCCTTCCCAGCCCACAGAGGGCTTGCAGAGGAAACAGGTGTGGGAATCACCCCTGCAACCTTTTTGAACCTCATGGTGTCCCATATTATAGAGGAGTAAACTGAGGCTCTGAGGAACACAGGGACTTGCCTAGGTAAATGACAGAGTGGTTACTGAAGCTTGGTTGTATGTGACCCCAACCCCCGTCCCTCCCACCGCCCCAGGGCCCCTCAGGGACTGCGGCAGCAGCCCCGTGACGCCCTTGCTCTCTCTGGGGCACGGGAGGACTCACTGCTGAGCCTCGTGGTTGAGCTTCTTGCAGAGCTTCAGCGGTGGGACGCCATGCTTCTGCCGGTACTCGTTGTGGGCCTTCAGGACCTCGTTATTGAACTGTTTAGAAGCTGCAATGATTTGAAAAAGGAGAACGTTCCAGTGCAGAGAAGAGACCCGCCAAAAGTACAACAGTGTGCTCCAGAGCAGCTACAGGCTCACTCCAGGCCACGTGACCAGGCCGCAGCTCCTCCCAGCCCCGCACCCCAGCCACACCTCTCCAGCCCTTACATCACCCTCCACAGCTCCGCACAGCTCAGCCCCTGGGTTATGCAGGCCTCCCAGGCTGTGTTAGGGATCTGGGTCTTTATCCAAGGCGATGCAAGCCACTGAAGGGTATGGGGCAGGCAAGTGAAATGGAAGAGCGTGAAAGAACCTGTTGGCTGCTGAGTGGAGGATGGGCCAAAGGAGGCGCAGAGCAGAAGTTGGAGGTCAGACAGCCAGCGACAGCACTTCTCAAAGGCAATGCTTGAAGGAGACTGGAAATCTCAGACTGGACCTGTGATGAGTAGTGGGAACTAGGGAGGACTAGAGGTGCAAGCACAGAGAGAAGAGCCTGGCTGGGGGGAGGGGTGCCTACACTGGGCTGGTGGGACTAAGAGGACCAAGGGTCCAGTGGGGGAAGAGGTAGAACTTGCACCCAACTGAGTCATGACCTCAGAAAGGACAAGATCAAGGGCGCTGAGTTAGGAATAAGTGGCTGAAGCCAAGGGCAGACGAGGCCAAAAGTAGACAGAAGTCACATCAGCTTGTATCTGTAATGGAATCCCATCCATCCATCCATCCCACATCCACCCAACATCTTCCGTCCATATCTCCACCATTCATCCCACACTCCTCAGTCCACCCATCCACGGAGTCATCATTCATTCAGCATCTCCATCCACCATCCATCTACCATCCTTCCAACTCCAATCCATACACTCACTCATCCATCCACTCATCTGCTTCTGAGGGTCTCCTCTATGTCAGCTTTAGGAACCTGGGAGTTACCCTCCATGGAAATGGGTGTCAGTTAGGTGAGTCATGAGTGATAGTCACTGAGCCAGCCCCATCTGGAGAGAAACCTACACCCGAGGCCTGGCCATGGGTGGGGAGCAGGAAGAGTGTAAACCAAAACAGGAAGGAAGCCCAGTCACATTTACCATTAACTTTTCTTCCCTGTTTGCTACCTTTTCACCTCTGAGGCTGAGGGAAGTCATCCTCCCCTCCCCCTTGGCCGGACCCCTCATGTCTCCTGGGCCTTCAAATCCAATCCCCTGGGGCCTCTGACAGGACCTGGAGGGGAAGAAGGTCCACAGCTTGGCCTCAGGGTGCTTTGAGTTAGACACGGCCCTAGGGGAGTTGAAGATAACTGCGGCCCATGCCAATGATGGGCAAGCCGTCCAAGGGGTCCTGGTTCATTGACAAGCAAGTGCGAGAAAGATGAGACAGTCTGTGGACTTTGACCTGAGGACTCCGGGGGTTTGGAGAAGCAGGCCAATGGGGCCAATGTGGGGGCAGGGACGAGAGGCGAGGCCCTGACTGCCAGGATTTGGGAGGTTGTGGCTGACAGGCAGAGATGGGGAGACATTGAACAGAGGCAAGGAGGTGGAAGCCTGGCAGTGGTAACAGGGCACGAGCAGGGCCAAGGAGCCACAAACTGCCAGGAGTTTTTAGGTCTTTGTGACAAAGACTTGAGGTTTAGCCTGTAAATGCAGTAGCTGGGATGACAGGTACTATTGTTTCTGTGGTTGCCATGAGTTGATTCCGCTCACGGCCATCCTGCACACAGGCTGAGCCGAGCTGCTCCATAGGGCTTCCAAGGCTGGGACCTTTTGAAGCAGATCAACTTGTCTTCCAAAGGGCCTCCAAAGGGTTTCAGATAGTCAACCTCTTGGCTAATCGGCCGGCACTTAACTGTTCGTACCACCAGGAACCTAATGGAAACCTTTAACAGAATATCTCATCCCAAACAGTGGGAGCCATAGCCCCTCCCGGCCATGGGCTGGAGGTCCAGGCTGACAACAGGCTAAGAAGGAGGCTGCAGGATGGCGTTGCGGCCGGAAAGCCACAGGCTCCTGAGTGACGGGCTGCTTGTCCTGCAGTAGCCTGGCCCCCACCTTGAGTGAGAAGCAGTAACAATTTGATGTCCAGAAGCAGTAATGAGGTGGGTAACGGGCTGGAAATGGAATCTCTCAATCCAGATGGTGGCACGGTGGTTAAAAGCGCTGGGTTGATGACTGAAAGCTCATAGGTTCAAACCCAGCAGCAGCTCCACAGGAGAAAGATGAGGCAGTCGGGGTTACTTACAGCCCAGGCAACCACCTGGGGCAGGTCTGCTTTGCTATGATTTGGAATTGACTCGATGGCAGTGGTGGGCTTCCCTCAATCAAAGCTGTCTAAACACTGAAAGGCCAGCCTCATAGGACAGACGCTCTCCAGCACTGGGGGAATGCAAGCACATGAGCCTCTCGGAGGGATCCAGGCACCAGGCCGAGGGCTCAGTTCAGTGACCTGAGACCCTGTAAGGTTCCATCAGGGTGGGGCTTAGAAGAGACGAGATGAATGACTGACTGCAGACTTTCAGGGGTTAATAGCATCTCCGTAGGAGCTCTGGTGGCACAGTACCTAAGGCACTGATTGCTAACCAGAAGGCTGGCGGTTCAAACCCACCAGCCACTCCTCGGAAGGAAGGTTGGGCGATCTACTTCCGTAGAGATACCGCCTCGGAAACCCAAAGAGGGGTTGCTATGAGTCGGGTCCGACTCGATGGCAGGGAGTTAGAAGGACTCTGAGTGGTCAGGCTCACCTCTGTGCACGCGCAGGGCGTGGATGCACAGACTCAAGGTAGCAGGCGTGGCCAGGCTCCCCCTGAAGGACCTTCCAGGTGCCATGTTCCAGGCAGGTCACGGTGGCCAAGATGGTGTCATGGATCGAATTGTGTCCCCCTAGAATGTGTCAGCTTGACTGGGCCATGATTCTCAGTGGTTTAGCAGTTAGGTAAGGAAGTACTGCAGCGGGTGGGTAATGATCCACCATGGTAATGATGCGATAAACCGATCAGGTGTAGGAGGATTAAGGGTGGGATGTTGTTAGGTGTCCTCAAGTCAGCTCTGACCCCAGCGGCCCCGTGTCCAACAGAACGAACCCCGCCCGGCCCTGGGCCAGCCTCCCAAACCGTGCTGTGCTGGATTCCATCGCTGCAGCCATTGTGTCGTCCGTCTCGTTGAGGGCCTTCCCCTTCCTTGCTGACCCTGCACTTTAGCAAGCATGACAGCCCTCTCCAGGGACTGGTCCCTTCTGACGACATGACCAAAGCAGGTGAGATGAAGCCTGGCCACTCTCGCTTCCAAGGAGCGTTCCGGCTGCACTTCCTCCAGGACAGATTGGTTCGTCCTAGTCTGCAACACCCTTAGTCCCACCACATCTCTGAGCCAATGTAAGGGGGGTTCTCCTGGGGTGTGGCCTGCAGCACCTTTTAGCTTACAGGAGAGAAAAAGGAGCAAGAAGGGAGCTGGTGGGGGGGACTACTACCACCAGGAAAGACGGGGAGCTGAGTCCGTCCTTTGGGCTCAGGGTCCCTCACTGGGATCCTCCGAGGACCAAGAGACACACAGACAGAAAGCTGCCCCTGCCACCAGCACTCTGAATTGGGACTTCTAGCCTCCTAAACTGTGAGAGAATAAATTTCTGTTTGTTAAAGCCACCCGCTGTGGGACTTCTGTTATAACAAACACCATGAAAGACGCAGAAGGCTGAATGGCATGACCCCGGTGACCATAGATGCATCAGGGAAGGCTCCCTGGAAAAGTCTCCTGGGTCATTTGGAATGAGGTGAGGGAGCAAAGAGCAAGAGTGGAAGGGATCTAAGTGTGTCCTGGGCTCTGAGGAGGAGGTGGGGATAAGGAGAGGGTGGAGCCAGGTCAGGGGCAGCCCTGCCTGATGGTGTAGTTTGCTCCTTGGCAGAGAGGGACATATAAGGCTGCTGGAAACGAGGTCACTGCACTCCCAGAATGTGGGAAGGACAAGTGAACAAAAGTGAAAGTTCTGTTCCCAACCCAAGCTGGGTGCCCAGAAGATGAAGTTGGTCACCGTTCCCAGATAAGGAGTGGAACCTGGCCTGAGTTCTCAGGAAAGGGTCAAGAGGTCTTTCTGTTAATCAGGAGGGGAGGCCTGGTCGCCCCACCCCTGGCTGGGAGGCATGGGGGGCCCACAACCATGACCCATGCCAGCCCCAGAAGGCCCCTCCCACAGCAGTAGCCAATCCTGGCCCAGGTGGCTCTTCTACGAAGGGCCGGGAAGGTAAGATATGACTGACCACCACACCACCACACCCAGCAAGAGGCACGCCCGGACTCCTGTAGGAAACCCAAGATCACAAATAAGCAGTTGGGAAAAAGTCAAAGAAAGAACCACCCATATGAGGCCACAAAGTCCCTCACAGCCACCCCACGTGAGGGAAGGGCCGAGGGCAAACTGAGGCTAAGAGAAGTCACACGGCCTCAGAGCCCCAGCCAGGACCGTGGGAAGGCAGGTCTGTCTGTGTTTGCCGACCGGCCCTTTCCGGGTGGTGGCCTGTGCGCGATCCCTCACACATCTCTCACCACCGGTGGTAAAATGGACCCATTTTTTGACAAGGAAGCTGAGGTTCCAGAAGTGAAGTCACCTGCCCAGGTTCCCACGACTAGTCCAGGGATGGCCCATCTGAAGAGAAACGAGGGCTGATACAAAGCCCTGAGCTTAACCCCGCACCCTGGTCCAAAGCCACAAGACAAAGGGACCACGAGGGGACAGGGGGAATCGGACCAGGCCCCTGGGGACAGCAGGGGGTGGACCAAAGCACGTCTGGGGCGGGCCAGAACCCAAACCAAAGCCATGAGCCCATTCCGACTCGGCCGCTTTCAAATCTGAAGCAAAGAACAGGAGGAAGGAAGAGAGAGGAAAAACCCACTAAGGTTTCTGAAGTGTGTCCACTGCGCCAGGCCTTCATAAGCAGATCTGCCTGGGCCCCAAGGGGAAACAAGGCAGCAACGTGGGCCTTAAAGGTCGGAGCTGCCCAGGGGAGAAGGGGCTGCCAGGCAGCTGAGCTCCCTGGCCCTGACAGAGGCCCGGCTGGCCGCGGTGTCCGGCGGAGTGGAGGTGCAGGCATCCTAGGTGGGCCTGAATCCAGGGAGGCCGAGCCTCTGCTGCTGACATGGACGGGTTACCCAATTCCGCTTGGGTTTTACCACAAACGTGGTGAAACTGCGCCCTGCAGGTTAGTAAGCGCGCCCCACCAAGCCCGTGCACTCGTTGCTCACTGTGAATCCGTTCCTGACTGCGGGAGAGATCCTGGGGGGGTCTGTGTGCTCCTGGCCCCTGGCTCGGGGCTTTTTCTCCAGTACCCCCGCTTCTCTCCTTTCCCTCCTCTCCACACTCCCCACAGAAAAGGCTGGAACAGTCAGGCCTACAGAGGGGAGGGCACTTAGGGGTCAAGGCAGGACCTGTGAACTGGCCCCTTCAGTGCCCTTGGCAAGAGGCTTGATGCAACCTGTACCCACCTCTGTGACGAAGCTGGTTTTGCTTGTTTATCAGGAAGAAGGAATCAAACACTGGTGGGAGGGGGAAGGAAGAATGAGTTCCAGATGGTCATTTCTGCTCCTTGAGCCTGGGCCCCAGGCACTCAGGAGCAGATCCCAGCTCCGCCTTTTACTAGCTGTGACCTTGGACAAGCTGCTTAATCACTCTGTGCCTCCAGTCTCCCATGTACAAAAGAGGGTAACAGCATAGGGTTATTGTAACAATTAAGTGAATTAATCTACCTAAATAGTTCTGAATAGCCCTGGAACATAGTGAATGTGTATCAATTTCAGCTATGATGATTATCTGGTGGCACAGTGGTTAAAGCATTCGGCCACTAATGAAAAGGTCGGCAGTTCAAACCCATCAGCTGCTGTGCAGGAGAAAAATGAGGCCGTCTGCTTCAGGAAACGCTGTGGGGCAGTTCCACTCTGTCCTCCAGGGGCACTGTGAGTTGGAATTGACTCCACAGCGGTGGGTTTGGTTTTTTGGGTTTTACCGATTATCACTACTGTTGGGTGAAGGGCTAAAGACCTCTGGCCTTGGGAGAAGCTGCCCTAGTCAGATGGAGCCTCTGCCCTTGGGGGGAACAGGGCTGTTGGTACTGAAATTGATCTTTGCTGACATCTTTCAGTCCCTCTGGGTGGAGACATGTGCTGAGTAGGTGAGTGAGGGAGTGTGATGAGATGCTCACCCAAGAACAGTGAGGCCCTCACGACAGGATCCTCTCCTCATTCTCAGGGGGAAACTGAAGTCTTTGTGTGTGGGGGGGAGTTGCTCAAGGTCACACAGTGAGTTCACATGAGAACCAGGTCTAAGAATGGGCCCTCCTTCCAAAACCTCCCTGCTATGAGACTCTCATTCTGTCCACTTTACACACATCCCCCATGTTTCTAACGGCAGGAGTGATGGTCAATGAACATTTGCTCAGTGGCTTCAAGAAGCGAGGGTTCTGTGTCCTGAGGATTTGCTCAGCTGCCTCCCCCTCCACAGGAGGTCACTGTGGCCAGCACAGATGCCCACTCTCCCTGCTGCCCACCCACACACACCCCTGTAGGCACTGGGCAAGTAAGTCACTGCCCCTCTGGGCACCATCTGGGTGAGAAGTAAGGATGCCATCTGTGTTTTCCACATGTCTTCAAAGTAGGGAGACCCTTTATTGAACGAAATCTTTAAAAAAATCAACAGATGACGGCAGAGCTGCTAGGGTACGCCTGCCCCCATAGCTCCCCACCACAGAAGCCCGAGAGGCTGCACAGCAGAAAAATTCCAGAGTGAGTTTGGCCCTGAAGGTGGTTCTGTCTCACTCCTCTGGTGCTGGGAGATGTGGCTCTAGTGACACTGAGATCCTTAGAGATGATAAGAGGATGCAGGGGTTCTGGGCTGGGCCGTAGTCCTGGCGGGGCTGGGAGATGTAAGTGCTCAGTGTGGTAGAAGGAGAACAGACAAACTGGGAAGTCAGAGACCTGGGTTCAAATCCCAGTTTAGCCACTTACTGGTCAAAGTGTACCTTGGGCACTCAACCCAAGGTTGAGGACACCAAGGTACACAATCTGTGTAAATCTACAAAATGAGTTGATAATCGCTGCCTTGTGAGGCTATTAGAAAGGCAGGAACTGTATATGAAGTACCAAGCTCTGTGCCTGGCATGCAGTTTAATAGTTTAGAATGGGTAAGGAGTCTTAGCGGCACAACAGTCAAGTGCTCAACTGCCAACCAGAAGGTCAGTGCTTCGAATCCACCCAGTAGCCAGTGGGAGAAGGAACTGCCTGTATGGGCCTGTGAAGATGACAGCTTAGAAAACGCTCTGGGGGGCAGTTCCGTTCTGTCACACAGTCGCAACGAGTCAAAATTGTCTTGACAGCACACACAACTATTAGTATGAGGTGCAAGAGGCTTCCAGTGGGCCCAAAGCCACTGCCTCTCGGCCACTTCTGTGTGTCCCCAGCAGGGACATAAGGGCTGGGAGCAGGAGCTGGAAATGTCTGAACACTGGCCGAGCGTCTCCTGGAACCTAAGCTGCCTAGTGCTGTGGTGTTTTCTCAGCAATGCCTACCGTCCCAGCGCCCCGGGTGCGTCTGTAGTCAGAGATTCAGTGACACTGGCATCTGTGCAGTGATGAGGTAACTGAGGCCCAGAAGAGGTCATCCTTAAGACTGTCTTTAGGGCATGACATAAAGTCCACATGCAGAGACACATCTATGAGTGCTACCTGACCTGAAGGCCGACACAACAGCTCTGAGCTGGTGGCCTGGAATCAAGGTTGGCCTGTGCTAAAGGCTCATTTGGTCTGGGTCACCAGGGTCACCAGAAATATCACTTTCTCTTGGGAACT